GTAAATGTGATTCGAGTTGCGCCAAGCAAAGCCATAGAGGTAAGTAGAAGAAAAAAGAACTACGCAAATGACATTATTATGTTATTTAGTCTGAGTTTTCAATTATTCTCTGTCTTGCTTGATTGGGATGATATTCTTTGTTGGTTAATTTTGATTCTTATTTTATCTTTATTTTGTTATTAGCTGCTATCCTATGTTTTTTGGATGTATTGGCTTATGTTTGTTTGATTCGGGTGGTTTAAGAATAGATGGTTATGGTTTCCTATTATACCAAAACATGCATCACTTGTATGAACTACTTAATTGAGCTTGAGGGGTCACATATTGCTTGTTTTTTGCAATTCAAATAGATCTTTAATTATGGCTGTTTTGTGTTTGTTAATGTGAATGTTATCAAATGCCCAACAAGTATTGCTCCATGTAGAAGTCTCAAATAGCATGTTTAGTTTGGTAATGTGGACTCAATGGCACTCAGCGGTATTAAAGAAGAAAATAAGTTCAATCTTGTCGATTGTACCATCCAATCTTGTCCAATATTGTGTACCATAGAAGTCCAAAAGGTTTTCTAGCATCTCCATTATTTCTGATTGTTAGTTGATTCCATTTTGCATTCATGATAACATTGGCTTATTTTAGCACATCTAATACACCACCTCATCTTCAGTCTCTTGAATATGTCTCTAGTGATGCTTGCTTATAAGAACCATTTTTCGGAAATGGTGTATATTTTTTTCTGTTATTCAATCAAGAATATCATATTGTCCCTAGGCATCAAGGTCTCAACAATTTCTGTGGCTTTTGTCAAAAAATTATTTTAGGGAACAATGTTTTAAAAAGTTCTGTCAAAAAGTCTTGTCCTTTTTTCAGAACAATTTATTAGCTGATCTCTTATCATGAATTCTGAATAGGAATTCACGTGGCCGGCCCTAAATTTGTTGGGAAGAATGCTTAATTTGTTATTGTTGTGATCTTCCCTGGGTCTGACTTTTTTCTCAGGGTAAATTCTTCTAATCAGCTAATTCTACTTCCCCTGTACCACGAGAGTTTGATCTTTTTCAGTAACTTTAAATTTCTTTTGTCCCAAAACAAAATATTTTGTCCTTCAGTTCTTTCATTTCCAGAGTTTCTTACTTTACGTTTAGGACAAGACTATTTTACCTGATGTATAATTTTGTGTCTTACAGGTTAAAATAAATGAAATTAACAAGTTACATCAAAAGTAAAAACATGAACAAAAATCAAAAGAAACTTGTCATTTCTTCCCTTGAAAATCACTATAAGTCTATAACTGCGAATATATTTATCCCTCCCTCTGGACCCACCATCTCCAGCGACTCATTCCGACCATCATTTTGCATTTGAGGATTTCTGACTGTAGGTCAGGTGTCATCAGGTGGTGAGGTTTGGTTTTGATAGGCAGTTTGGGTGATTCAAGGATTATGGATGGAGTGGTCCTCCTGTGTATATTGACAGGAATGTTCTGTTCATTATTGCGAAGTAAGTCAATTATTTTCTTTCCCTCCCTTTTCTCGTCCTCTAAATTCTTTTTCTGCGTGTATGGCAATACATTATTCGTGTTTGTATTCAATTTAGTTTTTAAAAGTTATAATTAAATCTGTAACCTATATATCTAATCTCATAATTTATCTCTGTGAGCTGTCGAGTTTATTAAATTCATGCATATTTACAGATTCGTTGTCCTATCAGATGTCTTGCTTATTTTTGCTCACACACTAGCTTCAAACAATTTTTTGTTAGATTTTTAATCTTGCATTGTGCTTTTTACCTGATCCTGAAAGCTGCTTGTACTTTGCAGTTATTTGTTTACGATACTGTCAACAAAAATTTGTCACCGAAATTTGGTGAACAACCCAAATTGCGTGTACCTCCTTCATTGATCGCAGGAGCATGTGCTGGAGTTAGCTCAACTTTAGTGACATATCCCCTCGAGTTACTCAAGACTCGATTAACCATTCAGGTAACCAAAGGCTTAACTTCAGGAATATTAAGTTTTCTTATTAAAATGTAATGTTGAAATCCATGTTTGGCAAAAATAACTAACTAAAAAGTAAGTTCAAATTACTTTTAAGCCAGACAAGAATGCACATAACTTTCTTTTCGTTTCTATCTACATCCTTATTAGAGTTCTTGTTCCAATATACAGGGAGGAGTTTACAATGGTTTGCTCGATGCGTTTATAAAAATACTGCATGAGGGGGGGCCTGGAGAGCTTTATCGAGGCCTGACCCCAAGTCTTATTGGAGTAATTCCGTATGCTGCCACCAATTACTACGCGTATGACACGCTAAGAAAGGCATACCGGAAAATTTTCAAACAAGAGAAGATTGGCAACATCGAAACACTTTTGATTGGTTCTGCGGCTGGTGCTATATCTAGTAGTGCTACGTTCCCTCTTGAGGTGGCTCGTAAGCACATGCAGGTTGGAGCGCTTAGTGGGCGACAAGTGTACAAGAACGTGCTTCATGCTCTTGCCAGCATACTCGAACAAGAAGGGATTCAGGGTCTTTACAAAGGCCTTGGTCCGAGCTGTATGAAGTTGGTGCCTGCTGCTGGGATATCTTTCATGTGTTACGAAGCATGCAAGAGGATTTTGATTGAGAACAAAGATAATGCATAGAGAGTTGTTTTACGAATGAAACTTGGATTAAAGGATAACATACAGATTTATAAATTTCGGGTTGTCTGACGTTGCATCATTTTCTGCGCTTGAAAATTTTGCCTTTTGAGACTTGGAATTTTTCGGTGAGAACTGATGTCTTATTAGAACCTTTTCAAGCAATTTTGGTTTTTATTTTAACGTGTTAAAGAACGACCAAATTTTGTGTGAAAGAATGATACAAAACGAGTTAAATGCGCATGTTCCTTTCTAGGCTTAATCTATACTGTTATCAGGATCCTTTCTATGCTTAACCTAGTTCAGTTTAAGATTCTGTGAATGTGTAAATCAATGTTCAAGGTTTTCGTTTTGCGTTGGAATGGATTTGTCTTAGTGTACTTTCAAGACTGCAGGAAGAGTTTGTCTTGGATTTTTAATTTAGTTTGGTAAATAGAGATGAGTGTCCTTTGTATCCATGTTTTCACTAGGTATTGGTCATGGACTGTGGTGCCAGTCGCGACGGTTTCACTCTTCATTGTTTGTTGGTATATTGATGTTTGGAGTTACGGGGCTGGAATCACCCTACTCTACAAGTTTCCGGTTCATCCGGCACTGAAATTGTCTCTACCTGTTATAGTTAAAGAAATTCTGATATTAATTTTTTGATATGTTAGATTGTCGTAAACAGTTGCTCAACGTATTAAACTGAACAATACAAAGAATAGACATCTCAATTAGAGGTGTCAAAACGGACGAGCCGGTTAGATCAGTGAAAACCAGCTCGAATCAACCCGGGATCGCGGGCTGACCCATGACCCTAGCGGGCGATTCACGGGTCAACGAGGTGTGACCTGCGGGCTTCGTGGGTTGCACCTCACGGGCCGCGGTTAAGCCGCTGGCCCCGTGAATTTTTTTTTTTTTTAAATTTTGAAAAACGTAGGTGCCAACCTAATTGAGATGTACTTATACTATAAATATTTGATAATAGTAATTAGAAATACATTTAGTTGTTATATGTTTAAGTTAAATTTAACTTTACATAGTTATAAATAATTCATATAATATTAAATTTGAATTCTATGTAAACATTTCTTGGTATAAATATGAATTTATCATTTTATTCAATTCTTAGTTTACATTTAACAAAAAATATATTTTGTATTATAAATATGAAAAATTCTATATTTTTATAATTTTATAACTTTGAAAAGTTATAAATAATTCATGTAATATTAAATTTGGATTCTATGTAAACATTTCTTGGTATGAATATGAATATTTCATTTTTTTCAATTCTTAGTTTATATTTAACAAAAAAAATATTTTTTGCTATAAATATGAAAAATTCTATATTTTTATAATTTTACGGGCCAAACCGGAACAAACCACCACCCATGACCCCGCATGGGCTCGACCCGTATGGGTTAGAGGACGGGCCTGAGTTGTAGTCCAAAATTTGTGGACCGACCTGGAACCGGCCCGGAACTCGTAGCGGGCGGACTTTTTTTCACGCGGACAGTTACCGGGCTCATATGTTGACGGGCCGACCCGGCCCGAACCACCCGGATTGACACCTCTAATCTCAACTACTGTCCATTGTGTTTTGTTCAGCGTATCAAACATGTCTATACTGTTTATCATCCTTCAATTCTCACGTCCCACTTGGACTAGCCATTATGACACATCCATGAGACAGTTTTCAATTAAATTTCAATTTCCACACCTGCATATAATAAATCATCATACATTTGAAGTGCCAACATAAAATGCATGGTTCACCTTGTCATTGAATGTAATTTCTTGTGCCATTGTAGAGGCACAAAAATGATCAGAGGGCATCCCCATTTTTTTTTTCCTTTTTCATTTCATTCATTTTTTTTTTCAGCTTTTCCACATCTTGAGGAGAATAATTCCACCTGTACAAGGATCAGGACCAGGACCAGGACCAGGACCATATATATTCATATCAGAATGCTTCAGCCTACAGAAATGCCATTTTCAGGTTTTTGTATCTTCCCATGCAAGACTCCAATGTTCGCGTTTGCGCAACAAATTAAACCTTATATATTGACTCTAATCCAAGGTATAGTTTCCAAATGAAATCAAACATGATTCCAAGATGCACTTCATAATCAAGCAACGGTGTAAACATACATCCTCGAAGTAGAAGAATTTGGTCTGGAAGGATTGTTCTTTACTCAACCGATATCTAGAAACATCATAACTGGGGGTTTAACCTACTGCACGTACATAATGAATCCATTCACACTCGAAAGTAGAAAGTAAAACAAATACGATAAGTTATTTGCCTAACTACTAGACACTAGTACTCTATTCAGACAGATAAAAGGTGACAGGCCTTGGACTATGGAAGTTATCCATGTCAATTCTGTTCTTCGCCTCCATATTCTCTTTCTTCTGCTTCAGCGGCCATCAATTCATCGAAGTTCTCTGTCTTCCCTAATAATATCTCAATCTACAAGAGAAAAACAAAAACAACATAAAAGGTGAGCTCTTCAACCGAAGGTAAATCATTAGTCAAAAGGGAGGAAGAATGGATAGAATTCACCACGTGTGCAATGCACAAAGGGATGCTTATTATATACTGTTCTCAAAAACGTGCAACTGAATCAAATATCCAATGTGTAAAGCCTGCACTAGGTCTAGACCCAGAAAATGTAAAAGATCAAGGGTTCAACTGGGGCCATTAATATATATTTCTCAAAAACATGCAACTGAATCACGTGTGCATAATGTAACACTACAACCAAACCACATATTGTCATGCACCCTAACAATAACTCTAACAGTTACTGCCTAAACTTAATTTGACTGATTGATATCACTCAATATTTTCTTGTGTGGGTAATACTATACTATGCTTGTACATCATAAGCCGATTCAATATAACTTAATTGAGTACAATTCTCACAGCATAAATAACAAGATATTACCCTAACTATAACGAACATTATCATTTTTAATAGGTAAAGGTTATACTGATCGAACACCACCAATCCTTTAATAGGTGGGATGTATGATGTGTGCAGACAGCTGAGAGAAATATTATTAAACCAAAAATCAATAATAAAAACAGAATCAATAAAGTCGCAGACAATGAAATGACAACTTGATGGTAAACATGGCATCCAAAGTCAACCCTTCTACCATTGGTCAAAAGTCTGCAGCCAAAGCTAGGTGGTACCAATGTTTTTTCACACTCAAATAATGTCTCAATATCTTGACGAGATGACACACACATTCAACAATATTATCAAGTCACAATAGGTAATGCTTTCAACTAGAATCTCTAGAACTATGGAAATGCCAAATTTTGAAGTCATGCAAGATCGTCTACTTGGCACGACATATGCTGCTGACCTTCATCCATTTACATCCTGTCATATTTATTTTTATTAGATGAAGAATTTTGAACTTACCTTTGCCTTAGGGATTGGCCGTGCTCCTGGCTCATCCCTCATGTCAACAGTCAATGTCCTGATTTCTGCATACGGAACAAATATCTGAGTGCATGTTTGATATTAGTATTAGACCAAACGGGGCATTTCACTGAACAAGATTTTATTTTCTTTTTCTTATTTAATATAGTCATGTACTGTCTTAATCCACCTTAACAAACATTCTATCAAAGACAACCATGGACTACAAAGACTATGAAAGGAGGGAATGAGGAGGAGTAAAGGGAAAGCTAAAAAGGCAAAGGAAACTCCTTAATAAAAAATGTCAAATAGTCTTACTCTTTTCAACAGCAAATCCATTGTTCTTCAAAATTTCAGCAATACTAACCACTGTGGAAATAGCTGAAGGCAAAACAGAATGTAAACAATCACATTAGGTTACATTCACGAAAACATACCTAGCGAAATTCCTAACATTAAAAAACAGAAAAGCCAAAGTTGCAGATAAAAAGAAATACCCATGCCAAGACCACATAGTTCCACTTCATTGTATTGCTGCATGTACCTCTGCAAACATGATTATCGACTCATTAGATGACTATATAAGGAACACTTGCAAGTAGCTAGCACTCATGTACAAACAAATCCCACATGAATATGACCTTAAAGAGTATATTATCCCTTTCAATAGCAATGGCCTTAGAATCATAATTACCAATAATTTTCACACTGCTACAAATTATCCTCATCTTTAGCTCGACAAATCAAACTATGAATTTATACTCAATTAGGATTGTAAAGGGGATCTACCTGAATCAATAAATTGGTGTAGAAGCATGAACCAAAGTAGGTTGTTCAAGCTCTTTTTTTTTTTTTAAGCATCAGAACGAAGTTAAATCAAAGCTTGTTTACCTTTCAAATCAATCTCAAACGACATTATTTACATGGATCATGAAGAGGCCAAGAGCACATTCAAATAATTGAAAGTGTCATTTAACTCCTATATATGATGGGCTCGAGCACATTCACCTAATACCTATCTTAAACAAGCTTATGCTGATATTTGACCACAAGAAAGTAGAGCTTTAGATACAAAAACTAGAGAAAATATATAAATAGGAAAGGGAAAAATGATTTCCTACTAAATAGCATGGGCGCTAAAAATTAAAAAAAGTAGCATTTTAACTTATAGATCTTCCTTTTGTTCCCTTTAAACGCATGCCACTAAACCTCCATGAGAATAAATATATGAATACGTATTTGAGGAAAATGCAAAATACAAGCATATGACTATAAGTAAAGGCAAAGAAAACAGTCTAAGAGGAAGCCCACGTTTGGCCCTCATTTTCTTAAATCGATTTTCGACCACATGTTTCGTCAATTTTTATCAAAATCTACTAAAATTTTGATTTTTAGCTAAACCAAAGGGGGCGAAATCATAAACCCATATATTTTCTAGATCTTTTTTTGTAATTTACAAGATTGTTCCCAATCCACCCAAAAGGAAGGAAAAAAAAAAAGTATATAAAAATTCAGTCTTTGGCTAAACCCTAAAATGCTAGCCCATAAATAATTGCTGACAAAAAAAAAAAGAAGAAAAGATCATAGACCCAAATTTTTCTTGACCTTTTCCTGAATTCCCAATATATTTCCTCAGAAACTCGTTTAAAATATGAAAGCGCATAAATTCTTACTTTCCGTTAAACCCTAAAACACATTAAACCCGTCTGTTTGTATTTATGAGAGCATGTATAGATAATTAAGAAAAAAACATAAAAATATTCTATAACTCACAGGTCCATAACTTATCACAATATGTTTCCTCAGCAACCCAGTTTCAGAAACGGGGAAAAAAAAGTCTTTAGTAAAACCCAGAATCCCAAAACATGGAAAAAATACATGAGCGCAAATTTAAAAAAAAAAAAGATCGCAAAATCCATTTACAATTTATACAAATAAATAAATTTAAAAAAAAGAGAGACCTTGGAGAGATTGACATAGAAGAAGAGGGATTTCTTGGTGTTGGAGACTTGGATTCTGTTCTTCTTTTGCGATTCAGATGAAATGCTGATATTGTTAACGCCCTCAGTTATGCCCTCCATTCTCTTCTTGGTTTTTTGGTTTTTCTTTCAAAATCTGAGAATCTCAAGTCTCAAGTCTGCAGATGTGTTCTTATCTGGGATTTTATGCACGGGGATTTTTAACGGAAATCGCATTTGTAACAAGCGAGTATAGTAAAATGTGTTTTTTTTCAGCTCCATATTAATAGAAAACATGGTTTGTAATCGAACATAAAAATAGAATTCTGCGTTCTATTAACAAATAAAGATAAAATATGTCATGTTTGTTTCGAATTAAAATTAGATTTTAATTTAAGTCAAAAAACAATTAATATTAATCATATCTTTTATAGGTCCCACAGCTTTTCAACCACACATTTCAAAAATTTCTATCATAATATGCTAAAAATATAATTTTAATCCTCACAAAACATCCCCATTTTTGTGTTAAAGTCGCTATTAATAAACATGGCCCTTTCTTCTCGCCACTCTTTTACCTCCCAAGTCCCAAGCTACCCTATTTCCCTTTATTCGAGTAATTTCGAGTAGAACTTTTCCTATGATTTGGGAGGTCTAGTAAATAATTTTGTCAATGATATTGAGAAGGGTATTGATGCCGAGCATTTTGAGGATCTCTTAATGTCTGAAATGAATAATTTCGAGAGTACAGAATTCCTCTCACTGAATTCATACAAGAATTTAAAATTTATCTCACATAGGGGTGGTCCCACATAATTAAAATAATGCCAAAAACCTCTCCCCACCCACCTATGATGTGTGTTGTCGAACAGGTACAGAAATTTAAATTCTTGTACCTATAGCTTAACTCGTGTAAAATTGTTCTAAATAACTATCTCAATAACTAGCTAGAGTTTGCGGAGGATCTTGTATTAAGTCGAAGGAATGAGTAAGAAACAAGTATTGGTAGGGGCGAAGTGAGAAAGAGGCTACTGAGCTCATCTAGCTAATATCAATCGTCATAAGCATAGTCGAGTATAAGAATTTGAGGCATGTGCTAAAAAATCACTATGAGAATGATATTGCAAATCAACTTAGCAAACGAATAAAGATTATTCAGAACCACTCTCCATAACAAAACTAATCATCACATTTCTGCACAATAATATTAATAACACAACAAATTTGAAGTTTTAAGACACAACTATACCATGTAAATATTAATGAAAGAGATGCAATGTTTACTTAAAAAAAAAAAAACTATGGACTAAAATAAAACGACTCTCGACGAATTCATTCATCTCACTCCGGCAGGTAAATGGTACAACATAACTTGGAAATCTGCACTCGACTTTTCACACGAGGGCACGTCTGGATTGGTTCGACTGGACAGTACAATATCACATTAACAACCTTTTCTTCATTAATACTGTCGATTATTGCCTGTTCAATCTTACAAAACGAGCCGTTGGTTTCTCTGTCTATATACACCAAGGCAAGTATCACAAGGAGACATTGAACTGATTGTAAAAAATTGGTTTCCAAGTAACTAACAGTTGACACCACATTGACCTTGAGCAGCTCTCTTTGTAGCCTCCGATGTAAACGGATCAATCCGAACCCAAAGCAGGGAGAAAATGGATGCGAGGAGTATTGACCAGACGATGACGATTGTAGGCGTTCGGTTTTGCCGGCCCAGCAAACCTTTGAGGAATGGGTAAAGGTGGACAATAACCCAAATGGCAAAGAACAACTTCCCAAACAGAGGACCCCATGACTGATATCCACTGTTGATGGCGTACGAAACACCAGCAACAATTCCTACCAAGTTCACAATAAGGACAGTGGTTGGAGGAATGAGGAGGGATGTCCACTTGAACACGTAAAGCTCCGCAAAGTCTCCATCTTCGTCAGATGCCTTTGAAGTGACAGTGAAATTTGTATCTATCCCAGCAAGAACTTTGAGGAGACCTTGGAAAACGGCAAAGAGATGAGCCGATGTTCCACCAATGACCCAGAATTGTTCATTTCTCCACCAGTCCTCGACGCTCACACCACTCCACCTCATTTCCAGAATTCCAGTAGCGAAAATAGAGACAAAGAGAAGAATAAACCACATGCTAGCAAAATTGCTTATCTGCAGAAGATCAGAAGTAGGTGCATGGTCAACACATGGCATGCAGGAGACTGGAAATGGAAAAGCACAAAAATACCATCATGCTAATTATTTCTTCGTATTACATGGTGGGGAAATCCTTAAATTTATAACAGGAATTCAATATAGGAAGTATACCAGATCCCCATCCACGAAGCTTCTAATCCCATGGATAAAAGGGGGAAGCATGGTTCCTGGAGCCTGTTGCTAAGCTTAAACACATTTATTTAAACGTGACTTTTGGTTTCCCTAATTGGATATTTTGAAAAACAAAAGTCAATTATTCAGGAAGTGACTTGCCTTGCAATACTTGCCAATTTCCAACTTTGACCAATAAAAAAATTATAAATTTCAAAGCTTAATTGTTTACTTAAAATTAAACTTTTTAAGCTTAGACATACTCTTGGCCATTAATTTTGGCTTCTCAAGCCGGATGATGATGTGTGCAGATAGTAGAGAAAATAATCTAACTGATGAACACTAGGCTTAGATAGCAAAAAGACACGTTGAAAAACACTTTTAAACAGCAATAGAGAAATTTGTCACTTACCTCGGGAATGATAAATTTATTAGTAAGAAGACATATGGCCGGAAGAATGCAATAAGCAAGAAGCGGAATAGAGGTAATGGGATAAACAATAGTGTTGATATATGCCAATCTCTCCAAGAGCTTCAGTTTCCCATTGTAACCATACCATATAGGGCAATGCCGACTCAGAAGAATTTCAACGGATCCCAAAGCCCACCGAAGGACCTGATTCAAACGATCCGAGAGATTGATGGGAGCAGACCCCTTGAAAGCCGGGCGAGGAGGCATGCAATAGATTGAAATCCATCCTCGTGCATGCATTTTGAACCCCGTTAAAATATCTTCTGTGACAGAACCATATATCCACCCAATCTGAAAGCAATAATTAATCTCAATAGCCTACTAACTTGAAATGCAAATGCCATCCATAAAAGTCGAATTCTAGATTCCCTAATTCTATAACATGCTTAGTCAATATTAAAAAATGGGTTTAATCACATTTTTAGTCAACTTGTATAGTATTGTTTCAGTGTGGTCACAGAACCTTTTTTGTGTTCCAAGTTAGTCAAAACTTCATTTTTGTTTAATCTTAGGCACTCCGTTTTTCTGAATTAACCAAAAAAAAAACCAGACATGGTTAATGGAGAACATGATGCACAGATGAGCATGGAAAATCCATTAGTGCATTACTTTTATCGTCCAACTAGGCAAAGAAACGTATTATTGGACAAGATTTGCGCTTGAAATGCGCTTTATAATGAAACGAAAAGTTCAACACAAAACACAAGTATGACAGAAAGAAGTATTTTGTTCCAGTTGGACAATAAAAGTTATGCACCAATGGATTTTTCATGTCGTCATCAATTCCATTAATTCAGTAGAGAGACAGCAAAAACCCGAGTGCCTAAATGAAAACAAAAATGAAAGTTCAATGACTACCTTGGAAAAGAAAAGTTCAGTGACTTGAATGAAACATTGCTACAGGTTAGGTGAGAGTTTTAACCCATGGGAAAACTATCAAAGTTACCTCTTTGCCCCACTCAGTTTTGTCCTCGTACCCACAGCTAATGACATGGATTGCTTCTTTCAAAAGAGTAGCAGGATTTGTTGACGTCGGAATCCCTCCCTGTTCCATAAAGGTGGCAGCGATGAAAACAGGTGATTGACCAAACCGCTTCTCCAATCTCTTTTGAGACAAAAAGAGCGACTTCTCATCTTCATATCCTGTAAAACTCAAGGAATGCATTAAGCATTAATCACCATAATCCAAGTCATGCTTGTTTCAGAATTACTAATGATATAGCTAACAAGTTGAAACTAAATACAAAGTCAAGGAGTTTAGAAAGTTGTATATTGTGCATAATTCCCAAGCTTAATGTGTCTACTCTTTAATAGCTTAAGCTTTTAAATGAGGTGGTATGACCCAAAAGAATTTTAGGTTTTGATAAGGTAGGTGAATAAGAATGAAATCAGACATCAGCAGCTAGCCCCAAAATCTTTTTGACTTATCCAAAATTGCCTAATGTGTAAACAGACTTGCCTTCCACACCCTCTTCAATGTCCTCAATATTAAAGATTGGAATGGTGGATTCAGTCCTTTTTGCTGCTTTCTTCTTGTCAATGTATTTCTTATCAGCATGCTTTCCTTTCTTTCTAGAGCCACAGCAGCTCTTGACAATGATGTTTGGTTGCAAATCTTCCTCAGTTAGGACTGGATCATACCCGTACAAAGCTTGTCTGTTAAAGCAACATCCAGTTCCAACATAGACTGGACCCTGAATCCCATCGAGCCCTTTCAAGTTGATCTGTAGCATAAGACCACAACAAAGTTGATAATGCATAAATGAAAAAATAATAGCTGATGATAGAGAAGTTGTAAAGAATCGAGTGACACGTACATCAAAGAATACAATATTGCGGTTAGCATATCTATCGTGCCAGTCAATGCCATCAAACCGTTGTGGAAATTGAACATAGCAAGTCTTCTTTCCAAGAACGGGGTCCATCATGAAACACATAGCTTCTTTAAGAGCTTTGCTGTTGTTAAAGTAGTGATCACAATCCACATTCAAAAGATATGCACCATTTGTAAGAACAGCAGAGACACGAATCTGCAGAACATACTAAAAAATGAGATCATAGAGAAATTCATCCTTCGCTTAAAAGCCCTTCCAAAAATTTTAAAAATAAAAAAAACCAACAGAGAAGGCAAGCAAAGGATGGTTACAGAAACTCGTTCGTGCACTACAGTGGACCGACCTGACAGCATAGTGGAGGGCAAGATCGAGGAAAAAGTTTTCGTTAACTCTCTTTTTTATACTTTTTCCCTCCAAAATCAGCCATCGTTTACTGTAGTAATGAGGATGGTACGTACGATGTGAAATAACAGCATGCTATGCCCAGTTAGAGTTGAGGTTAAAATACTACAAAAGGAGCTTAAATGTGGCTAGCTTAAGAAATACTGCAAGTAAATATAAAACGCCAATTCTACACTGGAAATTTGGCACTTCTTTTAGAGAACAGGTGTCATTGTTAACATCATTCAATCATCAGCCCCAAGCACGATCATATGGTTATTAGAAATTTACTTCACAAACTAGCAAGTCAATCAAATGGCATATGATTAGTCATTCACCAAATTCACACTACTGTTATCATCAATTGTATTTTGATACAGTAATGGCAATAGGGATCGGTAACCAATAACCTACCAAAGCATTCATAGCTCCAGCTTTCTTGTGATGTTGGAATCCTGGACGCTTCTCACGAGAAACATAAACCAGGCGAGGAAGTTCATTTCCATCCGTATCAAGGCCCCCACTATGCCCCAGAAAAACCTACAATCCATAAGCCAGGTGTTAAAACAGGATATACGGCTAAGGCATAAACTCGGATACTTCAAAACTCCAACGACAACTAAATCACCTGGATCATTCCAGGATGATCACGAGGGTTATTTCCAGGCCAAGCAGTTCCGTCTTGCATTGTCCATCCTTCTTCAGGCATCTTTTGAGCCTTGGCAACAAGTGCATTGATGCGTACCTTAAACTCTTCATATTCTCTCTGCAGAACAATTTTTAACACATACAATTATCCACAATGTACTATATTTTTCTGCCTTGACAAACAACATTTCGGAAATTGTGTGTAAAGTTTTGTATAGAAATTGGCAAGTAGTTTATCTCCCTTGAAAGGGGAATGGATGGTTAATTCGGGATCCAAAAAAATCTTTTGTTTTCATATTTTCTATAGGTACTGTTGTAAGTCACCTTCATTGCTCTACGTTCTTTCACAAAGGAAGGCTGAATCTTGTCCTTAAGGTAATCTATCTTCTGAGCAAAATAGAATTCAGGGGCCCTTGGCTCAATGCTATGCTTCTTGCAGAAAGGCACCCATTTCCTAGCAAACTCTGCAGTTTCAGAGAGGGCTTCAAAGGTTAGCATTGCTGAACCATCATCTGACACGTAACAGGAGACTTTGTCAACAGGGTAATCCACAGAAAGGATGGACAGCACAGTATTGGCAGTAACAAGAGGAGGCTCTTTCATGGGGTCCACTGTACTGACAAAAATATCGATAGGGGCTAACTGGGACGGCTCACCCTCCCTGTCATATCTGAGAAAAAAGGCATTGTTTAGAGCTCAGGGTATTTATCCAAACTTCCTTACAAGGGCATTTAACTTTAACAATCATAAAACATTCACAAACCTTATTGCGAGTCTGTCCAAGTATGTCTCACGATTGATGGGGTACCACTTTGGAAACTGATCCAGAAGCCAGGACAGAGCAAACCAAACCTCACAGATAACTGATGTCAGCCACAAAGGATAAGCATCCTTTACCGGATGAGTACAACGGTATTGCAAGAAGAAGCCCAAGATAATCAACCGAAGAACTATTACAACACGATATGGGGTAAGATGAGAAGAAGAAATAGGCACAACACGACTCATGGGTTGGCGAGCATCATCAGCCCTGTCAGAGAAACAAACTATTAGCAGTCCATAAGGATGTAAAGATCAAAGTTGCATGATGTGAAACTACATGAATGATCTCCCTTCTTAAACTAATTAATGCACCAATAGAGCAGCAGACTTAAACTAATTATTCGAATGTTCCAACAGAAATAGTAGCCGAGCAGTGCCCTGAAGTGAACTGAATAATCTCAACAGTGTGATGTTTAGCCTGAATATACCCAAGAAAAATAAAGAGAGAATAGATTCTTACATTTGTAATTCTTCTCCATTTGACCCTGTGCCTTCAATGTCTCCTTTCCCTTCACTGTATCTGTTGTTCACTTGTACCATATTTTTCTCCTGTTTTAGTTTCCAACCTTCCACTCTCTCCTTCCAGTCGACATTTCCAAGTCCATAAGAATTCAAGTCTTTTGAAGGGTCCACAATTCTCACAGGAACTGCATCGTATTATTAGTCAGTCAGTAGTTTTCATATAAAAATGACCTTAGAATACCAAGCTGGTGGATGCTAGCCAATTCACATGTATAGATAAGAAGTTACCAGGCTGCCTCGGATCGATATAGGGAAGGGAGTGAACATGCCGGTCTACAGGGCCCAATGGTCCTGATGTACTTCTTACAGATTGAGTGTCTTGTATAGAGCTGGGAACTTCGCCAGACACCTGTCAATTATGTACAGGTTTGTGAGAAAATATCTACCAACAGAATAAATTTAGTTGAAAGATGTAAAAACGGTTTCCTTCCTGAATTACATATGGGTTTTTCAAAATGAAGCAACATTATTTGATGTTCAGATGACATTTTATGTTCCTTCCAATAAACTGACAAAATGACTTGAGGAAAAGAACAAAGGCCTCGTATGAAAAGTAATGAGAAAAATCATCTTGCGTTAGTATGCTAGTCAAGGCAATCATTTGGTAACTGGTGCTGGACTTGTAATAAAAGTAGAAGATAAAACAAAGGAAAGAAAATTGGCAACAAAAATAAGACAATTTTTTTATGCAGAGAGGAAATATAACTATGGTACAAAAATTATGCCAATGAAGCCACATGTGCTGGAGGAAACTATAATCTACTGCAGCCGGATTTAAGTTCTAAGCATTGGCATTGTCCATTTTTATGTCATAAATTGCAGCTTTAGAATCTGCTGGGTATTATTGCTCATGGATACATAAATAAATTACGATTTTTTTCTTATCGGTAGAGGAGGTAGCGGTCAATGCCAACCCCGAACCTCCAGGCAAGTGTGGAGTTCATAAAAGATAAAAAAATAAAAATAAAACTTGCCAGCTGCCCATTAGTAAGAAGAGGGATTGGTTGCTGTGATTCGCGTCTACTAGATGAAGAGAGTTCAACATCGTCTCCCTGCCATTGGGATCGAGTCTTGCTCTTTCCCTGAGAATAACTAAATTCATTGTCTAAATCGTCAACGTCATCCTCATCCTCATCCCCTTCAACTCGTGGACTCCCTAAAAGATGAATGACTAATTAGCACGTCCACAAACCTCCAAACATATGGGTAAAAAAGCATAAAAAACCAAATTAAAAATAAAAAATAAAAGCAGACTGACCTTTGTGTCTTTTGTATCTAGTCTTGCATTGGGGACAAGACTGATTTCCATCTTTTCGTTCATACTCATAACATAAACGGCAAACTGGAAAAGCACATTCGTTGCAAGCAACAAATACATCACCATTGGCAGTCAGTCCAACGGTATCCCCACAGATCTGACATACCTGACCATTCAGGTTCTTCAAGGGCTTTGGCTGCAATATGTGCAAGAAATAAGTTGATCGAAATTAAACTAAACAATTAGCACACAATTTGATCCCTGTGTACACATAATAAAGCATATCAAATATGGAGGTAGTCCACTAGATGGAAAAATGTAGCCACATTGAAATACCTGCAAACTAAAACCATTCCATTGTGAACTGATGGGATTTCACTCACTGTACAAGAATCTAGCAGAAATCATGGAAAGTATAACTATGCACCAAAATAGCTTAATTATTGAAACTGAGAGAAAGGTTAGATTCGGGTTGAACCAATCAAATGCGTGTACTTTGTGCAAAAGTGCATAGAAAATAAGATGGAAGGGGGGATCTAGATTTAAAAGAATCTTACGATAATACACAGAGGCAATCAGCAATCGTAGTAAGATCACAGAGGTAAGAGAATGTTCTCAAAGTCCAATGAACTGAATCATCTAAAGATGCCAGATCAACAGAATCATAAAACAACACACTATGTTCTCAAAATCCAATATTTATTTTATCCACTCTCACACATCATCAAGCAACATTGATGGCAAATCCATGGATGAATACATATTCAGTCATAACTGTGATATACGAAGATAATAATAAAAATACCAAACTTAAATTAACTGGATCCTAGTTCGCAAAAGAGCAGACTCCAGCTAAACAAAATAAAATGTCCAGGGAAAATAAATTAAAATCAAAGAGTCAAAATCAAAATTAACTAGCACCCACTTCCAAATTTAATTTAAAAAACTAATCTTGAGCATATCACTCACTACTTAAACCAAGACATCCAAAAAAATCCAACTATTTACACTTCAAATTCCAAATTTAGACTTGAACTTTAGCCCAAAATTCACTTCCGCTCTACCATGCCTCAGATCTAAACACCAAATTCCAAAAAAAAAGAAAAATACTGTAAATTAGGACTGAAGATCGAAGTGGATTTTTATAAAAAGCTTACCGCACTATCAGAATCATGACGAATTCTAACAAGCTCATTCCTTTTGTAAGATCCAGCCACCATTCCAGCATTTGCCTCCATTTTCTCTAAATTCCAACACTATGATTGATATACAATCAGTATAGAATCAGATCTAATGTGTGTTTAGCTTAATTGAACAAAAATCTCGACAAAAAAAAAATCAAGGGAACTTTGAGTGTGAGGAAATGAGGGTCATTGGTATGATTCTTAGCGTCAATCAATTGGCCATCTCTCTCTCACTCTTCCTCTCCCCCTTCAATTTCATTACAGGCTCTGTCTTTTCATCGTTTTCTTAGGCGATTATTTTAATAAATATTTTTTATTTTTTTAACAATAACGTAAGGATTTTTTACTGGATGAACCGGTAGTCAGTCCAGGGCATATGGCTTCGGCTTCGGCTTCGGCTTTGGATTTTTAACCGGGATGTAGGGTGTATTTGATGGATATTATTGAGAAAAAAATGTATTTTAAATAGTAATATGATGAAAAATATGTGGTTAAAAAGTAAGGAAAAGTTATTAATGTTATGAAAAATATTATTTTATTGAAAAATGTGTAACTGAAAATGAGTTTTGAAAGAATGTGTGTCAAGCAAGGGCATAGTTTGTGCATGTTTAATAAAAAATTACTAATTCCATGTTTGTTAGAAATTAAAATTTATATTTTAATAACTAATTTTAACTATATATTTTACGAGATTCTCAATTTTTCAACCGCATATTTTATCACTTTTTTATTAAAACTTACTAGCGTTTGACACCCATTTTTTGAAGATAAAAATTTTTAGAATAGTGATTGATGGGATAATGTGTGGTGGAAAAGTTATGAAATTTTTTAGATTTGTGTGTAATATTATTTTATTGGAAGAATGTGTGGTTGAAATGAAGTAAGAGAAAAAAATGAGAATAAGAAAGAGATAGAGAATGGGTGCCAAACATATGCTAAAATTTTGATTTTGATTCTCACCAAAATGGGCTAAATCTTTTTCCCTTTTCATTTGTTTAAATTTTAATTTTAACCACATAATTTATGGGTCTACGTCCATTATTAACATTTTAATAAAAAATTAATAATATTTTTTATCAAATATTTTGTCAAAAAACCCCTTAGACTAGATGCGACTGTGGTTCTCGGCCTATATAATCTATTCTAATTTTATTCTTAACCTTTATTTATTGATATTACTGTCCCAAAATATATAAAATTGCTCAACTAAAATGAGAAAAAATTTAAAAACCAGGCTGCAAGGAAAAAATTTGGAACTCATATTCAAACAGGACATTGAACGAAAAACAAGGATTTTGTTGATAACCATAGTCATATGTATGATTTTCCACCACATATACTGGTTTAAGAAAGAAAAAAAGGAGTAATGCACATGCCACATGTTAGCGATTAAAATGTCAAAGACCTAGAGTTTGTATGGAAGTGATAAAATAATTTTTCAGAGAATGCATGGTTAAAAAATAAAAAAATATTATAACAAAATGTAAAAAATGATTTATTTATTTTTTCAAAAATATGTAATCGAAAATAAGTACTTAAAAAATGATTTTTAGATAATCACTTTCACACAAAGTTTAACGAAAGTGCAAATGATATATTGCATGATATGTTATGTGCATCCCACTCATTTCAAGCAAACACTTTATAGTTTAAATTTCATTATAATCGTGTCACAGTTCAATTTAGAGTTTTTATTTTTCAGACTAGAAGGGTAGAATTTCAAATTTAAAGAACGGATAATGTAAAGTTCCATTCTGTATATGCAATAATTAGTAAATTACAAGCTTTCTACATGGCGTCAAGCCATTGGATTAAAAATAAAAAGTCATCCAATCGTAATCTGACACGCACTCATATGCACTTCCCAGTATACAAGGGCAATGTAGCAAACAGATTTTGTACAGCTCTGGCATGTTGTACCTTGACGAGGAGGCTCCATGCTGTGACCAGCCTGTACTTTATGTTTACCGGTTGTGGCCAGTTACTCTACTTCCGACAAATTTTAGTGCTGTCGGTGGACATTTTTTGTGCGTTGCTTGTCTTAAAATGGTCCTGGATTTCATCAAAATTACTAGTTAACCCCTATTCTTATTTTTCCTTATTATTATACAATTGACCATTGTTCTGCCTGTACAAAGACCACGTGTATGTGTCAATGGGGCAATGGGCTGTCGAGCTGGTTCACGAACGGTTCCTGGCACAACCCATGTTTAGGAGTACCAGCCCTTGCTTGACATGGTCAAAAAAGTATGTTTACGCAACCGAAATTATAGTGTTGCAACATAACTCAATACGTAATTGTCGAGTCGTACTTGTACAAGAAGTGAACCGTATTGTCAGGGGCGAAGTGTGGACACAATTTAATCGACCCCAAACTTTGAGTTTTTAATCATGAATTTAATGATGATAAAAATATAAAGGACCATGTTTCTTGTACATCAAAGAGTACATAAGGGTGTTCATAATGGACACCCGGCATCATTTCATTGGAGAGAGTGCTGGTCCCACAGGCACTCCCTCCAATAGAAAGGTGCCGAGTGTCCATTATGGACACTCTTATGTACACTTTGATGTATATCTATCATTATCCAAATATAAAACAATATTACGACAATACTAAAAATGGTATAGTTTATAAATTATACTTGTTCCTTGCGAGTTTTCATACTCTAATATCATTGTACAACAACTTAATATCGAAAGCAAAAGCAAGTTAAACCCAAATCAAGTATTTAGTAAAATTAAGTTCGTCAAACTCTTAATTAAGTTCATCAAACTCTAATGATCTAATCTCATCCTCTGAGCAATTCACAACTTCCAATTACTGAAAGCGAAAGCAAAAACAAAGTAATTCATAACGCAATTCACATAGCAATACTGGAATCAATTCACATCAATTCAAAATGCAATTCACATATTGCTTTCACAAATCACAGAGACAGCAATACTGGAACTAGAAGCTAAAGCAACCGAAGAGCAATGAGTAGGCTTCGGGCTCGGGTCACTCTTCACCGACTTCTATGTCAAATTTCAAGAACAATTCAAATGCAATTCAAGAGCTAATTTCATATGATAAAAAGAAAATTTTAAAACATTACACAAATCAAAATAACAAATAAAAAGAAAAGAAAAACCGATAATCATTTAATTAATGACTAAATCAAAATCACCCAACATTTTGGATAAAATCTATCCTTTGGACATTTTTATAACATTGTGAAAGAATTTTCTTCATTTTTTATGTTCATCTTTGACCAAGATCATAAACAATAACGGATACATCTATGTTATTTCATGCCAGATATCATATCGACATGTATATTCATAGACACATACACGCACCTTTTATTGGTCGACGGTGGGTGGCGAGCGAAAAAGAGTGGAGACGAGGGACAAAGTCACAGAGATGTGAATAATCTAATCAATGCAAAACATGTAAGAAAATGAGAGAGGGAGTT